TTAAACCATCAAAAGTGCCCTTTACCTAACTAATGCGTCCTGTCAGAACGGATGCCACTTTTTATTGTGGTGATCCACGTTTTGAAAATGGATTTTGAATCATTTGAGATTCGTGCCCTAACCTAGCGTTTCACATTAGACAGTAAAGAACATCTGTGCTACAAAAATATACTTTTATTTACACAGCAACTTTCTGAATAAAAAGCTCGTTCTCTTCTAAAACATACTTTCTTCTACACTCAGGTTGCACATGCGCATTGACAATTACCAGAGTAACTTGGCAGATACTGCCATCTGTTGGATAAACTATTTGTCACAAGTGTTCTGAATAACTTCTCTGAGTAACATTATGTTTAAATTAAAAATTTTTATATGTCCTTGTTGAAGGTGTGTTGGGCATATCATTTGAGAAGCATTGATAAAATGCTACACATAAATTAATTTGAATTAAACATTTTAATTTTCTTTTTCAGGTCATGGACATGATGGAAAACTTAAAAGGATATACGCAAGATTGTATCAACTTAGCCTTGAATCTAATTCACAGAGGTATTGATGATGTAGCATATCGATTAATTGTGAAGTCCTCTGATCCTCAGCTTAACTTTGGAACTAACATTTTTACTAAACAGTTAATTAAAGCTGGTGTGGTATGTATAATATTACTATGACCTTTATTTAAATGTAGACTTTTAGACATTTTCACTCAGTCTCCTGTTTTATATTCTGTTGCGAAATTTTTTGAACTGTAGAGCTATCTAAAAAGAAATGTTTTTAAGGCTTTAGAAGTATTTAAAATATATACAAATAATTAATTCCGTGTACGTGTGTAGAGTTCAAATTAAAGTGATGATACCAAAATAATGCTTTTTCTCTAAAAAAACAGTTTCTGTGACCTCAGCTACTGATTTTGAATTATTGACACATTTCTTACTCTTCCCAATGCAAACTGACAATCCATATTGAGAAAAAATATAATGTGAAGTTTATTCAGAGATACTATGTGTAAAGACTATCACGGGTGTTTTTGAAGCAACTATACATACATGATGCTCCTGAAGGGCTAAATTGCTATCCTAGGAAATTAAAACTATACAGCATTTAACCCTTTGTGGATGAGAAAAACATTCTGGTACCTAATGTATTGTCATGTCGACAAGCAGTACGATGTAATGCCAGTTATGAAGAACCGTTGCAGAACAACACACTTATGACATCTGCTCTTTCGTTTGATGTAACCTCGTTTAATTCTTGATAAGTCAACTTGTATTTATGAACAAGGATATAGATGAACTGGTACTGTTAATTTTTTTTTCCTTGCATGTTGAAAAATAAAATAAAATTCCGTCTGCCTTCTGCAGAAAAACAAGCAGTTCATTATTTTCAAAGTTATATGATTCCATCATAAAAAAAAAAAAAAGAAAAAATTATTAATTGAAGCAATATAGTCATCTGAATATGGTGACACAATAACAGTGGATTGGAACAATGGTCTGCAGAGTTTCCAATGGATATTCCAAGTGGAAGGGACTAACAAAGCAGTAGAAATTGATGAAAGTCTTTTTAAAATGCAAAAACAAAGTATGTTGAATAGTAATTGGGAGTTAAAGAGGGATCAGTTTTTTTCAGAATTCTGTAGGAATGACTGGTGCGATGCCAGTTTTCATGATTTGATGATAACCAACATTCATGTTTGGGTGGATAATACATAATTATTGAAGTTCCATTTCTATGAGGACTATTGGGTATGGTCTGCTGTGTATATGTGGTGTGTATAACTGCTGTGTATAACTACAATAGTGTTTCCAGTTCTTGTTATAGTTTCAAACTCATTTCTATATTTATTTGCTTTTTATGGCTTAGGCATTGCCTCACATTATTCCCCTGTAACATCATACAAGTTTCTTCCAGCCCAGTAATTCACTACTGCAAAAGAAGTGAATTTTGCCTTGTGTCAGAATGTAGTAAACTATGACAGTTGACAGTGTTTGGAGACATGTTCCTGGCAAGAAAAAGTGAGATAGAACAGTCAGCAACATTGAATAAGTTGAAAGCACATTTCTCATGTGGGCAAGCTGCCTTGTTAATGAAGAGAAGAAAATAAATAAATACAGCAGTAATAATAATAATAATTAAAAAAAAAGCAACTCCAGCTGAAAAATAATCAATATTGCATATTTAGTTATTTTGGCAAATAATCTTAATTTTGACTCTTTTAAATTCTACTTTTTTTGAAATAATGTATTCCATATTTAGAAAAGTTACATCGTCAAAGCTTGTTAAATTCTTAAATTTGAAAAACAAAAATTTTAAGGAATTTCAGTTCTGTTTCTATAATGTATGCTTTAGAAGATCTATGCTGATAATCATTAAGAAGGTAAAAAATAAATTTTATTAATAATTATAAATTAACTTGGGAATACGAGTGGAATCTGATCTGATCATCTTATCTGATGAAACTGTTAATTATTTCTATACTTAATATTTCTTCAATGATTATAAAATTTTTTAGTTTCTTTTTAATGGAAGTTAGCCTTTATTTTATTTTGATAAAAGTCTTGAAATTATCATTTAAATTATTTTACACAAGCAGGCAGGTCAACATTTGGTGCTTGTTTGTTGGAGTTTTCAGCACTCTGCACTTCTTAGATTTTCTTGATGAAGTTGTATAGGTTTCTGTAGTGAATACATTGTGTGTTAAAATACATCTGAATGTAAATGTGTTCTGAAGTATGATTTGTTTTTGATTAAAGCATGTATCTAAAAAGAATTAACATTAAAAATTAGAATTTGCCATTATAAATGTTTTTTAAATCTTAAACTTGCTCAAAGTCTTGAGCATTTGTTTCTCAGGCATTCAAAAAATTTAATAAATTTCAATGTATATTATGCAGTTATATGATTCTTCTTCTTCCCTTCCCCCACCCCCCAATAATTAAAACATTTTCCTTTCACATGTGTGTTTAGTTCCTTTATAATATGTTTTTTGTTTGTTTATTTCCAGGAGACTGACAAAATTATCCATTATTGTAATAATATTTTTGAACAAGGCTTGAATCACATGATATATCTTAATACTGCAAAGGCAGCAGCCGATTGTGAAAACTTTGGTAAGTTTAAAATGTATATAAAAATATTTAAAAGAATAAATTAAAAAATTGCTATTGTTTTTAAAAGCTGAATTATTCTAGTAAATTTTGCACATCAGTTCATCAATTTGTTATAGTACTTCTTGATATTTAATGTGTGTTGTTTGTATCGCAAAGTTAAAAAATCTGATGTGTACACCACGACTTCCTTGTACGGAATATTAAATTATATGCATTTTTTCTTGCATTTCATTTAACTTATTGAACTGAATTAAATCTACTTCGTTGATAGTGCATAAACCATAATAGAATAAATACGCTCTTTAAAATTCACTATATTTATTTACCATAGCAGCATTCTGGCGTTAGGTTCATTTAACAGCATTATATCTCATTCATTTTATAAGTCAGAATGCAAAAAAGTTTCATCATATAAAGAATTATACAATTGTTGCCACATGTTCTATTCAAATACTATAATAATCTAAAATGATGTAGAGGACAGACTGGTGACAGTATTTGTCACTAATATAAAGCACTTATTTCCTCGAATTTCATTAGAGATATATTTCTCATTCAGTTAATTCAGTTCTCACTTCGTGGCAAGGCAAAAATGCATAAAAACTCAAAGAATTTTCATTAAAAATTTAAAGATATAGAAAAACATAAAACCCAAGTACATTTAAAACAATTAAAAACAGTTTTTACAATTAAAATTGCAATTTCTGTGCAAAAATGAGCAATTCGGCCAGCAAGCAAAATAACAGATTTTTTGGTGCACAAAACTGACAGTTTATTTCTGGTCTCACTTGGCAAAAGGACACTGAAAGCATAGAAACTGACTTAATTTATTGTGGACACTATGCTGAGTCAATATATAGGATAATTTCATGACTTAAATGATAATCCTAGAATGGATTAAGTATGATTTAATTCGCAGTAATAAAAGAAGGCATTATCTTTCTTGTTGCAAAGCTCAATTTCTCTAGATTGGCCACAAATCCACTACTTTGTTAAGTTTCAAATGTAAGAAACTATGAGAGGTATGGTAAAAATAATTAGGCTTAGCCGTACTTAAACAACTTTTAAATTGTTGATTATTCTACAAATATTGCATGCAGATTTACTAAAGGCATAAAAACCTTAACTGGAAGGTAAGAACAACATAATTCAATCATTTTTAAAGTAAAAAATGGCCAAATTACCAACATATGAGAATAAAAATACTGAGCTCACTGAGCCAAGTAACATTGTGGGTGTATATATATATATAACCAACATATGAGAATAAAAATACTGAGCTCACTGAGCCAAGTAACATTGTGGGTGTATATATATATATATATATATATATACTTTTGGTGCAGCTGATGGCAACCAAAATTTCAAGGATTCTGTGGCTACATCTACATGTTTTTGAGTTATTCAAGATACGTACATACATACAACATGAAAGAAACCTCTTCTGAATCCATTTTAAATCAGTTATAATTTGTTTGGGGAAATAGAGTCCTTTATTCTGCCCTGACATACAGATGTCATGCAAAAACGTCATTAAATTGCATTGGATAGCGGTTAAAATGGATGTTTTCTTTGAAATATGGTACCCAGAATTTTTCGTGATTACAATACTTTGTTTACTGTGTACAAGGAAGTAAAAACATGATAAAATATTCTAGGTTGATACACAGAAACCATGTTAAAACATAAATGATAGTAGAACTTTCGTATACGATTCTTCAGCTGCATCTGGAATTAATGGATTGATTAGGTTCATATTTTATTGCTTTCTGCAGGTTTTCTGTACTCAACATTGATGTCCATGTATATGGAAGATTCAAAGGAAATGTCCATGTATATGGAACAACATTGATGTCCATGTATATGGAAGATTAAAAAAAAATTCATTCCAACACAGATTGGTAGTAACTTCAAGCATTATTTAATTTTGAAATTGGTCTTATGCCAGGGTTTGGTAATGGTTTTTGGCCTTGTCGCATCCAGTTAAAGGTAGTTGGAGGAGTATTTAATCAAAGACGTGCTGTTTTCATTGATGACTTAGCTGCCAGAGAGTTTATAGATATCTTTTTATGCTTAGCAGTTTTTAGTGGTAGTTTTTCCAGGTGTTGAACCAATATATCAGATTCCTGTATTTTTATCTTTATTGCAGATCAGGTTAGCATATAGCGCAGGCTTTGTCAAGTGGCTTACTTCGCAAGTACTGGGTGCATTAAAAAATGTCCTTTTATAGGACATCGACTGATGTTAGTGAGGATGAGATGGGTGAGAAGGACTTGCTAAACTCTTCTATCTCAACAAAATCGCATCCACTTCCATATCGAAAAGATTTCCTAGCTATGGAGGCTGCAAAGAATCCAGTGAAGAAAAAGGCTAAGCAAGTTCTGGATCCTGTACTGCTAAAAAAGGACCTGCTACTTCTACTCAGAAAATTTTACGAAGGAACAACTGCGAGTGCTGTTATCTAAAATGGAGCCAAATAGATTCAAAGAACTTTTTGGAGTAAATTTGCCCGTTTAAAAGCAGAATCAGATTGACCGGCGAGGTGCGGAGCTTCCTGAAAATGGTGGCGATGAGAAGAAAAAGCTGAAGCCTGATGGAGAACCTACAAATGAAACCTGGTAACTTTGACATGGAATGGAAGCAGCCCAAAATTCCAGCCAAGCAGCCTGAAATTCCTGAACCCATGGAAGTAACGCAATCAAACATATTTGATACGTTAGTAGCAGGAGTTCCCGAAAGCGGCGTAGGAGGAGCAAGTGCAGTAGAAACGCCCCCTCCCCTAGTTTTTCTAAGCGAAGTGACTGATTGTCTGCTACTAGATGAGCTGCTGCAGAAGTGCTGTACAGAGGCATACGATTCCAGTGTTAAGAACAGGAGCATTCATGTCCATGTAAACAACTTGACAGATTACAAGAATGCTTTGAAAGTGTTATGTGTCAAATCCATACCCTTTCACACATACCTACTCCAGAGCGAAAGGAACATTCATCCAATTTTAAAGAACTTACCGTCCTGTGTGAAGGAAGAGGCAATCCACAGTGATCTTGTGGGCAGGAAATTTCCTGTTGTTAAGGTGAAACAGTTTGTTAGGTCCAGAAGAGTGGTGCAGGAGAAGCTGCCCATTTTCTTTCTTAAATTGAAGAGAAACGCAGAAAGTAATCAGATATGTCACGTGAATGATATATTTAATTTCGAAGAACGCGTGGAAAAATACAATCCCAAGAAATAACCATTGCAATGTTTTCATTGCCAGGCGTATAGACACTTTTAACACCTGTGTAATAATTCAGAAAGATGTGTCAAGTGTGGTGGTCCGCATCCCAGTAATGCATGTTCAAAGAAACTAGAAGATATCCCCCACTGCAATTTTTGCAGTGGGGAACATGTTAGTAGCTTTCGTGGTTTTTGCAGTTTGCAAAGTGAGATAAGAGTAGAGGAGGCAGAAGGCGCAGCGACATTAGATTCCTGAAAAATCAATTGCTAATTTCCCAGAACTTGTAAAGGTGGACGATCAGCCGGCGCAGAATTCAGGAAGAGCCCGCTACAGTGATAGCGCTAAGGGTAAGCCCAGAGCCACCACCAGTGCCTTAGAGGAGATAATTTCATGAATCTTCGGTTCTAAATTTCAGGAACTTTTCAAAACTCTGTTAAAAATTTTCAGGTTTTTTCAGAGCACCAACTTTCTTAAAAAAGTGAGTTCCAGCCTACAAGCTGTCCAGAAACTTATGGATTCTGCCGCAAGATATTAAACTCCGGAGGTAATGACAGTTAATTTCATCACTCACCAGCTCCACGGCATTCAGGTTAACAGCTTTTCGTTCTTCTAATAACCCTACTATTCAGAATTTTTCTCTTTAACATTAAAGCTGCTACTAATCTCCCTTAAAATTGTTCCTAAAGTCAAAATTCACTGAGTTATTTAAAACATATTGTTAAAGATGTCAGCAAGTTACTTTGTTTTTATAATTCGCAATAGCAAATTTTTGTTCTACACAGGGTAGTGCATACAGCACAGGCACCCGGGTGTCTTAAACACCGTTTCACTGAAGATAGCATACATACCTGAAATATCTGTAGTGTTAATGTCCAATTTATAGGATCTTAACAACAGTTTCCAGATGGGTGGGGCTGAGGTAGTGGCAAGTTTACAACCAAATCTTTTGAAAAAGCAGGACTGATGATATGGTATTAAGAAAATATTCAAATTTACTGTAAATTTAATGTTATTTGATTCTTGCCTCAATAACAACTTTGCTTTTTGAGAAATAACTGCAGAAGCTTGTCTTCTTTTGTGGGGGGCTGTCATAAAATTAGGAGGATATCTATTGTTTTCTGGGATTTATTTGTAGTAGACATTTATATTCATTTTTCTTAAGTTTGTGTAGAACAGAAATCTTATCCTTATTTTAAGTAAAAATAAAAAGTAGCTGTTTTATACAGATGGAACGGAAAGTAGTTATACAAACTTATTGCTGGGTTGCCAATTGATTCGTGATAGATTGTAGTCTGAAGAATATCTCCATTTCACAAAATTAAGAACTGAAATTAAATGCTATTGTTGACTACTCTTTTAATTGTAAAATGCAGGTTGAGGAAGTTTTCTAAAATAAATTAAAACAGAGCTTTAACTTCATTTTCTGAATGTTTCCATAGGGCAAATATACTATTCACACATACCTCTTTCAAAAAGTAGACTTTTGAAGAACAAAATTTTGCACATGTTGCATATAAATTTCAGACAACATAAGTGACATCGATGCTCCAATAAAGAGGCCTTTTTATTGTTTGCAGGTGAGCCCTCTTCTTCTAAATAGTGTAAAAGTATGACTGAAATGAAAGGGTTAATTTCATAGATGTTGGTAATGAATTTAGATGTGATTAGTTTTTTAATCAAGTTTTACATAAAGTCATATGGGATTCAAATAAAGGGATGATTGGAAACAAGGATTTGGTGTCGATAATCAATAGTAATGTTGAAACTCATTACTTTTGAATTTGTGCATGAAATTCGTTTGTAAAATGTACACAAATTCATTACCAACATACACGAATATTTACATTTCATCCATAATTGTATACTGTTTAGAGGCAGTGTGTAAACCTGTAAACGGTAAAATCTCTAAGGAGCATCAGTGTCACCTATGTTGGCTGAAATTTATAGCTTTTTTCATGCACATGAAAGGAGAAGCCTTAAATTTGTAAATTTGTTTTTTCATATTTTTTTTGAAAAAATCAAATGTTTAGTGCAAAATAAAATATACTTAAGTAGTTGAAAATTGATATTTTGAAGTACATGGGTAAAATTTTTAAAGACTTGTAGCCACTGCATATTTGCTTGAGGTGGCTGCCACTCAACATGGCAGTTGTAAAATTCGCTTCTAGTGGAGCATTTTTTTCTAAAAATGAAAGAAATTAACTATTTTCTAAAAAATAAATAAATGAAAAAAAAAAATAAAGAAATAAAAGTGAATACCTATTACTAGTTCAGTAATTCAATCTTGTGTGGTACAACTGGAAACACTTTTCCAAGCACAAACCAACTCCACAATCACTACACCAGAATCATGTTTCCTTCCTTATCTTTTTCCAATTTTTATCCTTTTTCGAACAACACACTTTGTACTGTCTTGCAGGCTCACGTTTCGCTAGAATAGGAGGAATATGGGAAATAAAATGTCGTTCAGTAAGACAGGCAGGGTTATCTATTGTAGGTGGTCTGCTAACATTCTTTTGTCCAGAAGCTGCATCATCATATTTATGTAAAAGCTCTTCTACAACTTGGATTAAAAATTCTAAAAATGTAATACGTTTCCCAACTACATTTTTATAGAGCAAATATGAGTTCCAGAGTACCTTGTCTAGTAAATGTAAAAATATCTTTTTATAATATTTTTTCTGACGTTTTCGGATTGTTAGATGAAAGGATATTTCCTGATGACAGTGATCTGCACCACCCATAGTTAGACTGTAGTCAGAAACAATCTTCCGCTTGAGTATATCTCCATTTTTTTTTTTTTTATTTTTGAGGCTGACCATAGAAGTATCATGAATACTGCTCATCAAACACACATCCTTCATCTTCGGTTGAAGAATCTAAATCATCTATATAACGTTTCAAAGAACTGGACGCCATTTTACAACAAAAAGATCCCGTGCACATTGAACTAAAGAACTTATAACTTCTAACCTTTGAAATCTTCAGTAAAGTGCTGTCATCTATTGAATTGAGCGCACATTAACTTTTCCCGAGATACATTTGGGTTTGACAAAGAGATGAAGTCAAAATAAACGTCTCCCGATATATATTTGGGTATAACAATACGATGCACTCAAAAAAAAATTTTCTTGAGTAATACTCGGGCGTGACATTTTCAAACATCAGTGCCGTGCCCGATATATATTTGGGTATAACAATACGATGCACTCAAAAAAAAATTTCCTTGAGTAATACTCGGGCGTGACATTTTCAAACATCAGTGCCGTGCCCGAGATTATCTGGGGCATGACAGTTAAAAGGTTAATAATCATATATTATTTTGCATGTATATTTGAAAAGTAATGTAAGTGTCTATATTCCTCATTTTCATTAATTTTGCATAACAAAATATGTGAGTAAAAATAATACAAGACCACTGAGTTCGTGAAGAGGAAATTTTTTATGGGACAGGAGCATAAAATTAAATTTCAGACTAAAATTTGAAAATTCACATGTAAGACATATTTTTTAATTAACCTACAAGGTATTTTCTCCCTCTTTCAAACATGGCTTCTTGGTGTAACAGTTAGCACACTCGATGCACATTTGAAGATCCAGGTTTGAGTCCCAGGAAGGGCATTGCACCTTTTTCATCTACTCCTGCTTTAAAAAAATGACTCTACAGTGGCACCCAAACTAAGAAAAGATGGTGGATGATGACTTTTTGCCACCAGGATTTAGCCATTCGGTTCCCTAATTACCAGTAGCCCTTTAAAAGGTACATATTTAGCCATTGGTTTCCCTAATTACCAGTAGCCCTTTAAAAGGAATATACAAGGTATTTTCTTTCTTTCTGCATGCCTATGGGGTATAACAGTAGTGCACTTGGCACATATTCGAAAGGTCTGGGTTCGAGTGCTGGCAAGGATATTGCTCATTCTTTGTCTCCAGCATCAAAATAACCTAATGACTGTACAGAGGTGCCCGAGCTAAAAGGTGGTGGATGATGATTTTGCACCCCCAGGATTTGGCAGTTGGGTCCCCTAATCCCTTTAGAAGGGGGAGTATATAAGGTATTTTCTCCCTCTTTCAAGCATGCCTTCGTGGTGTAATGGTTAGCACACTCGGCACATATTTGAGAGGTCCAGGTTTGAGTCCCGGCAAGGGCATTGCACATTTGTCATCGTGTCATGCTGTAAAAAACGTAATAACTCTACAAATCATTTATTAATTTTTAAGTAACATTTTTTTTTTTTTTTTTTTTTTAAATTTCTTTGGGTTTTACAGTACAATTTATTTATGCTTTTGAGAAAACACATGCCGTTTACAGTCCACTGTGCACAACTAAGAAGTCTTTGTTGCATACAATGTAATGAGTTTGATTTACAGAAATTTCAGATGTTTTAATGCATGAAAATTCTGTAAAATATGAATCTTTTAATTTCTGGTTTGTAATTTTAGCTTCTTAGTATAAGGCAGCATAATTCACAAAAAAAACTTCCAGCTGAATCACAATTTACAAGATACTTGTGCTACATTCTCACTGTAATCTAAGCGAATGAAGCCAAAGCAAGGTAATGAAGTCCGTCACTGCAGAGAACTAGATTGCTGAGATTAATGATCAGAGTTTACTGATTTGCGATTGGCTACTCTTCAAAACCAGCAATGCATTCAACACGTGATGCAGGTAATGGAAGATGGGGACATCAGTACTTTGATCATATTAAACAGTTAGACAGGTGGAGTCCCATGTTTCCCACTGTGGTTTGGCAAGGAATGCAAAGGAGTTTTAGTATGAGTAATGTTAGAAAAAAAAAAAAAAAAACTGCACATTGCTATAGGGAAGTACTGTGCAACTGTGAAAACATGATGTCACGAACATTCAGCCAGTCACCAGATGAATTAGTTGATGATTCCATCATGCATACTATTTTCCCCGCCCTCTTTCTGTGAAATCTGTAGTTTTTTCCATATTTTCTATATCTCATAGATTTATAAGAATTTCCATAGAAATTACAGAGAAAACATCATGATATCTGATTGACCATAATCTCACATTTTTACATAAGGCAGTAATTAATTTTTATAATTATAAGATATACCTTTTCCTATATAAATATCTTCACAAAATATATGTTTCTTATAATCTGTAACATTGTATGATTTAAGAAAAACTGTATTTTGAAATGCTCATTTGATTCTAAGCAATCATTTTAACACTATGTGATTTAATTATGAAATAAGAAACATATGGTATTGTTTATTGCTCTTCTTTATTATTTGAATGAAATTTCAGTATTCTTTGAATAATGTGGTAATGCTTTTTAAAGCAATTAATGTAATGCTTTTTAAAGCATTACATTAATTGTAATTATTCTGAATAAAATTGTAGGCTGTGCTTCTGCTATTTTTCAAGCAATGGTGAAGAAGGTAAATTATTCAAAATAATTCTCTCTTTTATGCTAGTATTTTAATTTTTATGCATGCAGTTATGTCAAGTTTTTTTTTTTTTCTTGTTTTACTTTTGTAAGTAAGAATATTTAATGTGTTTTAAACGATTCTGCCTCTTAACTATCTGCTATAAATTCTAACTTTTCACATGTAAATAATTTCTTTTCTGTAGTTCATTTTTATTCTTATAAATACTCTTTACAGAGATATCCTTTTTGCATTTAATATTAAATAAAAATTTTCATTATTTATTGAGAATTTTGGATTTTTTTTTTTTTTTTTACATGTTTTTAAAGAAATTGGTTTTAATGTTCACACTCAGTTATTACCATGTGGTTTTTATTTCAAAGGGAGTTCCTGTTCGACTTCATTATTTTTTACCTATACTTTACTACTACTGTGAAAAAAAATCTGTTGCAGGTAAATGGAATTTTTTTTGTGTTTGAAATCAGCTTTAGTATTATATTTCTCATTATACTTATTTTTAAAGGATGAGTTTGATTAAATTCTTGGTTGAACAAAATTTTAAACATTGACATCTACTTAGACTCATGCTATCAATCATGAGACATCTACTTAGAAATATTAAATATTTTAATGGAATTACACTAGCTGAATTCATTAAAATCATGCTAACTGTTTCAGACAGTTGGCCACACTAGTGATTGCTATTTTAAAGAAATAATATAGCGAATATAAAAAAAAAAAAAAAAAAAAAAAAAAAAAAATTCCACTCTTAATACTCTTATCTGGTATTCTAATAATATGCTGCTTTTAAAAAATTTGTATATTTACTGTTGAATTTTATTTGGCATAAGTGCAAAGAATGTTTAATAATAAAGACAACAAAAGTTTGTTAGAGCAAGAACAAATTCGTAAACTGCAAACTAGGAGAGAGCATAAAAAAACTTTAACAAACCCTCTGGTGTGAAGTTAAAATTTGAATCGTTTTAGATTCTCTTTCCCCATGAGTATGTGTGTGTGTCGCAGAACAGAATGGTATTAAAGCTGCTTAAAGATAAATCTAGATTTTGAATCAAATCATTTTTTAATCATATTTTATAAGAATCAAAATATTTTGATTGAATGATTGAAGTAATGTGAACCTGCCATATGGTTTTTGTTACTTTTAGAATTCATGGAATGATCTAAAAATTTATTGTGATTATAGCTAAGAATTTACGTTAAATAAAAAATGGGATTGTTTCTCCAATTCACATCTGTAAAAATATGAATGTTCATTCAGAGATAAAAAGAGAAAGTAAATTTTGAACCTTTTTAATCCCAAATTTTTTAACTTTTCTGAATGAAAAGTAAGGAATTTAGCAAAAATTTTTGTTGGTTATGTTTGTGTAAATAATTATGAATTTTGTATGCAAATACAAAATTTCTTTGGATAATACCCATGCAGTGGAGAAAAATTCCTAGAAACTCTTCACCATGGATTGTCAACTGGATTCTTTTCTTATTAATTTTCAGCTGTGAAAGAAGTCTGTTTGGATATAAATGCAGTTCTTTTTGTTAAAAAAATTCTTAACTAAGAGTCTCTCTTTTTTTTTTTTTTTTTTGGACATGTACAAATAAAAGTGAATCAGATTTGTATCTTCAAATCTTTGAATTAGATTTATATCTCATTGTAAATTAATTAGCTCAATCTTACAGGTTTTCTGTAATAATATTCATTTTTAATGGTAATAAAAATAATGTTAACTCGAACTTCAAATGGCTGGAATCTTGAAGGCTTCAAATGACTGGAATCTTCATAACACGGTATTTTCAACAAATAAATAATTGAAATGTGTTTGCGAAAAATTGCTTTGGAGGAAGCATGTAGCTTGCAGGCCACCAGTTTGAGACTGCTGTTATGTATCATTGTTGTTCTGTATAATTCATAATGGCTATAAATGTTATATATATGCTACTTAATATGCTATACATAAATTTTGTATAATAGATTTCTGGTATATTTTTAAGACTAAAAATGATGAAATAAAATATTTGTCTGCAATCGCGTATTCATAAATATATTATAATTTTCCTCCTTTCATTTCTTTCTTCCCTTTTTCCTCCCCTTCAAGTAAAGCCTTCTGGGGTTTATCTGTAAGTTTTCCAGATTTTTACAAATTTAACCTCAAAATAAAAAAAAGCATATAAATGGAGTGCCACAGTTCAAATATATTGCTCAAGGATCAATTCCATTTAATATTGGAAATTTGTTTTCATTTTATTTGAACAGAGTTGAAAAATAATATTCTGAAGATCAGTGCTTATGTGCACATGGGATAGAGATTACGTGTAGAAGTCTTAGACACACTGAATGTGATGATTTTCCTTCTGTGTGTGTGTTCCATTATTTTGGTTATGTAGTTTCTGTATTGCAGATATTTCTTGTGCGTAGTTACCCAAGATGCCTTAAAAGTCAATACTGAATGAAATTTCTTATAGGAATAGTTGAAAATTCCAATAAGAGTTCCAGCAATGATGGATGGTTGAGTGCTCAGTAACTAATTCTTACAACCAATAGGGTTACAGTTATGCCTTACCTCTCCTCTGCGGCCATGGACTCCCATGGAAGGTCTAAAGTTACAAATCTCCCATTTTTGTATTTACTTATTCATTCTATAATTCTTAATACATCCTTGATAAACTCATAAAAAAAATCAAATCTGAGTTTATCTTTGCCTATATGATAGAAAATTATTCTGTTCACATATAATACCTATCTATTCGCATAGCTATCATCTGTGATAATACATAACATATGTCCTGTGATATATATGTAACATATGACATATGTTCTTGATAATAGATGTGGGCATATTTTTAACAATCTAATGTTATAGGTATTTATGTATTAATAGTATTTGATATTATTAGCTTTGTGTTACTTTTTGTTCATAGCTATAGTTGTTGTTTATTATCAAATTTGTTTAGTTATCAAACTTCTTAAAATTTTGGAATTTTTATTTTATTTTAACTGCAGTCTTTAAATCAAAATATTTTTTATTATTGCATGCATCTATATAGTAATAATAATTTTGTGTATATATTGTGTTTTAGGTATTTACTGGGTACTAAAGAATATGTTTAAAGTTGGTGTTTGTGCAGATTTTTTGCTATATGCTCGATATGTTGTCCCGTGTGTTGGAGTGTCACATCATCCAGATGATATAATTTCTAGTATTCAGGTAATTTTAGTAAAAACATGAAGCTACAGAGGGTGTTCACACATTTTTAGAATAATTTTGGGGCCATTTAATTAATGTTTAAAATCTAAAGAATATTTTTTTAACTGTTCAGTCTGATAGCTTTTTTCCCCTCTATTCTATAAATCTGCTTTATGATTTTTATGATAGAAGGGCATTTCATAAAATTTTCAGAGGTATTATTTCTATTCGTTTTCCACTACTTTTCAGAGTTTATTAATCGTAGTGGGTTTGCACTTAAGAATAGCTCTTTTCAAGAGACTAAAGGCACAATAGTCCATAATTCCCTTTAGGGACTGTTAGGAGACCTTGTAGGGGAATTTTTAGGAGCCTTTCTAGGAAGATGTTGAAAAGGTATATATGCAATACTTGTACCATTCTTAATTTTTTTAAGGAAATGAGTGGTACCTTTTTGACGTATGACTTGTATCTTTGTCTTGATGAAGTTCTACTCTGTAAAAGTCATTGGGTTTAAAAAAAAAAAAAAAAAAATTCTTCTGTAAACATGAGTTGTAAAACTTTCTCTTGATAGTATTTTTAGTTAATTTTAAGACTTTTTTCCCCCCATTCTTCCTATTTTCAATTTTTCTAGGTAACGAAATCCTGTGACAACCATAAACCCCTTACTGAAACTTTCTTTGCTTTGTTGGAATCATGTTCGTAAATTTTTTGTTCATTTTCAACGATAAATTGACCATTTTTTGTTGCAGTCATTTAGGTAAACCCATGCTTCATCAAAGGTCACAATGTATTTCCATTTATTCTGTGCTAAATAATTTTCATACAGGGTTCTATATATTGCTGTGCATTAAGTCACATGCTTTGGAAAAAGCTGATGAATATTATGTTTTTTTTTTTTTTTTTTTTTTTTTTTTTTATTATTATTTTTTATTTTTTAAGTTGTAAATTTTAGTTTATTATTCTATTTATTGTTGCTACAGATGAATTTAAAGACTTTGCAATTGATTTCTGCATCAGTGAAATTTCTCTTGTTGCCAATGATTTAACTTTAGAAACATTAGAAAGAGAATGTACTTTTTTCAGGTATTCGTTTGGGATCTTGTTTCGATATAGAAATAATGATTGATGGTTTTTCCCTTTTTGATTAATAATGTTGCTTATTTGCTTTGCTTATGTACTTCGAAAATTGTAATACCATGCATTTCACAATGTTGTCGAATTTTGGAATACGAATATTTCTCTTCACATATTGCAAAAACATATCCATAGCTTGTTTATGTGCAGCATTTTGAAAGAATAAAAGTAGCAGATGTTATTTCTCATTTCAGGTAATAAGCTATTGCCAATTTTTTTTTTTTTTTTTTTTTTAAATCTTTCTCAGAACAGTTCTAAAAATGTGTAAACACTGTCAGTATTTGTAGTACTCTTATTGCATTGAAATCTATCAAATATCTTTGTTTATTGAAAAAAATTAGTACTTAGGTATTAAACACATGTGCTCACATATAATCAACAGTATTTTGACATCATTTTAGGGGTGAAATATATTTTCTGAATCAGCAGATTGATTAAACAGTTTTTTTTTTAATTATTTTTTTTATTTTATTTCCAGTGAATATTATTTGGCAGTTGCATTTAAAATCACATCAAACAGACTTTTTATTCTGCATAATTTGTTTTTCTTTTAATATAACAAATAAACTTTGCAAATTAAAATGAAAGTGACTTCCCTTGAATCAGTTCATGGATCTTATGCTAAGACTTTATGTGATAGTTGTTGCCTTTATGTGTTATATTTCCATCATACTGTCCCTGTTATGCATAATTTCATTTTGTGAGAATTTGAACATTCACAATTTTTTTGGTAAAATATCCTATGCTTGGTACAGTATATTACTTCTGCTTCATTTCTCAGCAGATCTAGTAAATGCATGATCCAAAATACTGTAAATTTGTGAGATGAAGGAACACTCTTCTGAGAAACTTTCATAGGAAAAGGTTAACCATTAAAAGATGAAATATGGTCAGCACTTGCTCTAGTTTGTCTGAAATTGGGATTGAAATTAAAAAATAAGCTACCCCCATCATCCATAGTGAATGAGGAGAGCAGCTAAATATTCTTTGCTTGTATGTTTTATTTTCATTCCTATTTTTGCTATTGGGAGAAAAACTACTTTGAGCAAATATGAATGTAACAAGTTGAAGAGCAGCTATGGTAACAAAATGAAGAGCAACTGATTCGAAGAACCAATTCACTTTATTTATGAATTTATTCTCATACCAGGAAGTGGTGTTGTAACCTTTTTTTACAGTTCAGGAAAGCTTTTGTTGGAAGCATGCCAGGAATAGAGATTGTTATTCATTCACAAACTGAGTTATTTGCATGAAAGCATGCCAGTAAAGTTTGATTTCCATTTTAGGGAGAAAAGAATGTTTATCATACCATGTTAAAAATGAGTTTAATTTTAATCATTTCCCAAGATTTTGAAAATTTTATATTCTAGAATTTTATTGTTAGTTCTGTGTAGAAAGGAGATTTTAGGGAATCTCAGAACTACAGTTGGAAGAAATCAGTTCAGAGAGATTAGCATTTGATTGAGTCAACTTTAATAAAATGTCTCAATCATTTCTTTTCACTCTACATTCCAGCCTTGCTAACTAGCCCTCTTCCCGCTACTTATTCTTTCCACTCTTCGCTCTATCCTTGCTTTGTATTCATTATTCCAGATTTTTTTTTCATCAAGGGTATTGTTAATAAGCAGTGAGTCATTAAAAAGAACTGACTGATTTCAATGAGTGAGCCATTCTGATCCATTCCCATAAAAGAGTAGTTTTGCCCTGCTCTAGAAAATAAGTGTAATAATTTGAAATTTCCTATGTCATACTGTTGGGTATTTTCTCAAAATTTTTATTATGTAGCCAGTATTCATGCTTTAATTTTATTGACTGGCTACTTGCGTGGTCAGTACCTGAAATAGTTGTAATATATTAATGAGTCCAGGTAGTGGGATTTCATAAAGCTATTTAATAATTATAATAATAAACTACAAGTAGTACTTTTTTATTACACTAATTTAACTAATCATTCCTATCCAAATAATTCTAAATTTTAGGTACAGTTGAGATTATATAATTAGCGGTGCTGAATGCTATATGATTTGTGTTACTACTATTTTAAAATTTAGTTCATTTCGAGTCAAGTATGAAGTTATTACTAACAAGAAATCCAAAATTTGTTTTACTCTAATTAAAAAAAATATGCATATTTTTAAATTTTTCTTAATTTTTGCTAATTATAGTTTTATTTCAAAAATAATAAATATTATTTGCTATCTGACTAGACTGTGAATAAGTAGATGGATTAAAAAGTTTTTTTTTTTTAAATTTCAGGAGACTGGACAGCCAGTGTCGACTGCTGTTGACGCCTTATTTGAGTTTTACTGCTATCAGGGAAAATTGGATTATGCTGTACATCTAAGTAATATTTAAATATATGTAGATTTTTATTTTTAATTGCATTATATTTGCTAACATAATTATAGACTTTGTAGCAGCTCAGTTTGATTTAGAATTTAAAAAAAATTGATTAATTTTATTTTTGATGTTAATGATATTAATTTTTTTTCATTTATCAAATCCGTACATAACAAAGCATAATTGCATTCCTTTCTTTTTTTTTTTTTTTTGGTGGCAGATATGTTTAGCATTATGTGGATATGTTTTAGCAGTAGTTTTTTTATAATTGTGCAACTAATAGATTCCCCCCATATGTTTTTCTTGATTGTTCAGGTAATCTAGATTTTTGCTTTTATTCAAGAAAAATAGTTTTCATTTGGAAACTCCTTTAATTGAATCATGAGATGAAATAGTGAGAATGTTGTTGGGATCATTTGGGCAGTCAACTTAATAGTGCATATTATTTGAATTATCAGCTAATGTAGAAAATTCAATAAAATATTTATGAAAATGTCTTGTAGCAGATAATTTTTATTATTATTTATTGGTCAGATCACCTTGTAACTAATGCCATCTTTTTATATGGGACTTGTTAAACACATTCTAATGTATTTAAACAAGTGATTTTCACAGAAGCGTTTTCTAATTATAAGGACTTATTTGAAGTATTGCTCTCATTTTAGCCCCTATATGGGGCTATCTGAGGTTTGTAGAATGTATAGCAAAAGCTGTGAAATGCTTGCATAAAAACAGTTGCATTAAAGTTTCATTCATATAAATTCTGCCTTGCAAGTATCCTGATACTAATTTATTTCTTTAACACCTCTTCATGAAAATGGCAGTGATAGAAAAACTCATTAGACACATCATGCTTCAAGTATAAAATGCAATAATGCAAACAAATTTTGTAAAATGTATGGAGAAAGTAATAACACTACTTACAAAATAATTTGATATTTATTAGCTTATTATGTCTTCACTAGCATAAAAATATCTTTTTTATTTCTCCTTAAAATTTTTTTCTTCACTGCTCTATTCTAAATATAAGACATTATTTTCCTTAAATTTTTTTTTCTGTAGTCTATCTGACATGTAAAGTTTAATTCTTAGAAACATTTGATCATTATACCCTTTCTGTAGCTGTTATATTTACCCTTTTACTATAGCTTTTTATATTTAAGACATATTTACTGATTTTAGCTTAATTTTACTTATACAAACATATTTTCTGCAACTTTATTTTTTCAATTTAAAGTGGGATAGATGTAAAATTACTTCAAAGGTTGCATGTTGTCATTTGAAACTCCTTTCTTATGATAAATTATATCTTGTTTCATTGTATGCACTTCAAACTGACTAAAATTTTAAATCCAAATTTCAGAAGCAGAAAAATAACTTTTCTCCCTTATTTGTTTCTTCATACAAACTTTGTTGGGGATAAGTAAACAAAGAAATGTGTAATTGAATGTTATAGCTGAACACTATTTTTACTATCATTCATTCATATTAGATATTGCAACAATGTATTTTCATTATTTTATTGGATATAGTTTAAAAACTTCACAGAGAAATTATTTTTTAAAAAACAATTACTGCATATTGACACAAATCATGCATCACTTTACAGAGTCTTCTTTCTGAATCATTTTGTGTTGCCTTCAGAGTATTATACAAAAATTTCAGGTTTTGGACATTTATCCGTTTTTTAAATTTGGGAAATTTCTTTTTAGTATGACTGATCAGGGTGTCTTAGTTTTGCCAGTTCATAAATTGAACATTTTTTTCTGAAATGGTATTGCTCAGTATTGCATGACATAAGTGATAAACATGCTTTTCTCCATGCTAAATGTGTTATTAATATGCATCTAAAAACTACATTTATAGAATCTATGGTTTATAAGTCACTTTATGAATTGTAATAATAATAAAAAAAAAAAATACAATTTGAAATGACTGCTTGTGAGAAATGTTTAGAAAGAGAAATATGTGATGGAAATCGGGGAAAATTTATGTCATTTTATTTAAAATAATTTAGGGTAGAATTTAATCGTTTAAAAAGGCCAATATAATGTTTGTGTCTTTTCCAGTTATTTGAAAAATCTGTAAAACCCAGCCAATGTTAAATTTACTTCCCAATCTTAATTGTGTTATTTATCATGAGTTTTTTTGTTGATCTAAATAGTTGCTCTATTTAAATAATCTTCAATTGATCTGACTGAGAAAATGCCATCCTATAAAGATGTGAAATCACTGTCATGCAAATTGCTAGTGCATGCAGATATGCCAATTATTGAAATTTCCAGCTAATCAAATGTACCATGTGAGTGCTATAATTAGAAGTGTCATAATGCTATAAGCAGACAACTACTATTCAAGACATTATCACAGTTTCCAAAAGGGCAGGATTTGTTATCACTGTATTTAGAGAATGAGTACAGAGTGTTGATGCCTTTAAGACTGGAGTTTCATCAAACAATTATGCTGACTAAAGATTTCAACTCAGGTCTTCTTACCATTGTTTGATTCTTGTACCTTATTGTGGAAGAAAAGAAATAATGATGCTGCAGGTATTATATAAATCTGAAGACAGTAATCCCAGGAAGGAAATTGGCACCATCATAATGAAAAGCAGTTTCCAAGAATAAACATTCAAAACACATTAAATTTATCAAATAATAACAATAATAAAATGAAAATAACAAAAATATAAGTTTAATATTATATAATAAAAAGAGTCAAAGCAAAGTAACCTGTATTTTTTTTTTATAATTACACATCGAATTATTCTTGAATCTAACCATACATATTATTATAAATCATTTTGGCGGCCAAAAATCTTGACAGCTTTAAAGTGCAAACAAACAAGTCAGTGCACTCTCTGCAACATAAATTCGTTTAAATATGAATTCAAGTGTTTTTGGGTAGTTTCATGGTGTTTTTTGTTTCTCCATTTTGCCAAACCCTACAATCATTCTATATTTTGTGTATGTGCACCAGTTTCAGGATCCAAAAAATTATATCGGTGATTCACTTTAAAGTGTTGGAATCCCACTGCTTCCAGTTCGTCAGTTTTGTAACTTTTCCATGAGTCTGAGAAACCTGTAGTTTCTTCTGCAATGTTGCTCCTAATTATAGCCATTAGAGTTATTTTCGATTACATTCTGATTGGGAACCTTTACGACGAAACATCTCCAGAGTCCCCCAAATATCCATTGTTCTGGAAGAATACAACCGATTTGGTTTTTGCACTTTGTAAAAAAGCTCTCATCTATCTCTACAATTTTGTTCGGACCTTCTATTTGTTTTGAATCATGTTGTAGAAGGCTGTGAGTGCACACTTGCCTCATATAGTTGTTCCAATCAACAACTGTCTTTCTTGTTAAATCCAGATCTTTTTCTTCACATTCAATTGATACTTATTCTTGTGACCAGCAGTAAATAAACCGAAGGGCAGTCAGAAATGGGAGTTTTGAGCCCTCCAACTACGTGCCTCTTTGAATAGCTACTCTTTTATCACACCCCTTTACGTTGCACCACCATTGCTTATCAGTTTTGATATATAATGCAATATCATGGCCATTAATGCACATTTTCTTAATAGAAATGATTCCATGCTCTTGAAAATATGCCACTGCACTCTTTTCGGTGCTAGGCAAATCCCAAATTCAAATCATTTTGCAGTATAGTAAAGAAAGCAGTATATTTCAACAAGCTAAAGAAAACTAACTCACATTGTCAAGGATTACACAGTTATTTGCGGTTATTGGTGCAGAAGCTACTTTTTAACAATAATATTGTGTTTGGTGAAAAGAATTGATGGGATAATCCCAAAGTACCAAGTGAGTACTGATTCTTTTTAAATAGCAATATGGAGATAACGTGAAACTTTATTTCACCCAAAAAACATCATGGAAAGACATCATTTTCCTTGAAAGGGAGTCGGTCATGATGCGAGTAGTGAAAATGCTGAATGGCCACACAGACCTCCACATTGACACATAATACATTTACATCTAAAAGATACAAAGATGAAGTCCTTGAGCCTTATGTTCACCTGTTTCGAGGTGCTGTTGGTTCTGGATTCATATTCACTTGCACTCCTTGTCACTGTGCAATCCTGTTCGACAACTTCCTTGAAAATGAAATTATCCAACACATGCAGTGGTTCGCTCACTCTCCTGATCTTAATCCCATTAAGCATGTGTATGATGTGCTCAGGAGACAAACTACAGGCCTTTCGTGCCCACCAAATTCCGTTCCAGAACTGAAAAGAGCTCTCCTTAATGCTTGGAACTATTCCAGACCACAACTCTTCCACATTCTCATAGCACATATGAGCAATCATTGTGCAGCATGTGTGCCTACCAGAGGTGACCACACACCTTATTAAACTGCTGAATAACCTTTTTGTTTAAACTTTTTTTACTAAAGTATAAATTATTTGTTTGTGCTGTTTTCTATCAAACTGTTTCTTTGGATAATAAAAGTAATTAATATCTTTCTTTTGCATTGTTTTCTTACGTTGTAACTGCATTACACTCGCATGTCATATTTCCTGCCTTTCTGACCTAGATTTCCTTAAATATTCACATAAACATCAATTATGCTTAACTTTTGGACATCAGTGTAGATGCACAATTTTTTTTAATAACATCAGAATTTTTAATTATATTTGGAAAGATGTATAGAAAATGCTTGAAGAAAAAATTAATTACATAAAGCAAAGGAAATTTTTCTTCACATGGATGTTTATGGAACTATTAACAAATTAACTGTGCAGCATTATATTTGCATTCAAAATTGCAAATACAATGCTGATTTTTGTTTTTTGATGTCTAAATTAAATTCACAGTGGTTCAAAAACTAGTGAGAACATTGATTCGTTTGTTGGAGTAAATGAACCTAGAAAAATAAATAGAGGCAAGGAAACAAATAAGCACAAATATCCAGAAAATTTTAAGTTAAAATTTCATAAATATTTTGTAATTTTATAAATATGTTGAATCTTTTAATATACAGTTATTCTCATATCTTTTTAAAACCTACGTAATAAATTATACATGAAATTGTCTGTTACTCTAAACTACAAATGCTATTTGATTGAGATTTCAGTAGTGATGTTTTTAACAAATATTTTTTGATTTTGTAACTAAGAAACTAAAATTTGCTCAAGATCTTTATTTTGTCATACTTGATATATCTTCAAAATACAAAGTAGCCTATATCTGCAAAAAATAATTATAAACATTATAAATATAATGTAAAGTGAAGTAGGAAGAGTTGGTATTACAACTTCAGGTATAAGTGGGAAGAAAAAAAATTATTCATAAGTTGTCTGGTATGGTCACTCTTAAAAATGAACAGCTACTTTCTTTGCTTACTTTCTTAACTTCTTTTCATTACAGCTACTTTCTTTGCTGTGTGTTAGCTTATCCATTAGTTCTTGTGGTAACAAAATTATTGAACTATGCCTTGAAATTCCAAGAGAATGCTAGATGTAGGCTGCAGTAATGCAAGTCGGCATCCTAGTGTTATATATGTTCCTAGTGCATAGTGTTATATATGTTCCTAGTGCATATATGTTTTGTCAGGTTTAAATCTGGAGAATATACAGGGTGCTCCATCTACTGGATTCCTTTGCTGTCATGCTAGTTGATCTTTTGTGCAACATGATTTGCATGAGTATTATCATTCATTAGGAGGAAATCATTATTGATTATACCTCTGAACAATTTGAGATAAGGACCATGAATCTCGTGTTTGTATATTTTAACATTAACTGGCACTGCTAAAAATGTGTAGGCCAATGTGACTATTCAGAATGGTACCTGGTTACACCATGATTCCACCGCTTTTGTATTTACGCTTTTTGCAATTGTTTACAGGCTTATTACGTGTATTCTACTGCCTTCATATTCTAACATGTCTGCAATCACGTTTCAAACAGAAATGAGAGTCATCTGTAAACAGACTTCGGCTCCAGTCACAATGATCTCTGCACCACTGCAACTGGCATGTTTTACAGCATGCTTTAGTGGTACATCGGTTATAAATTTTTTGCATACAGTCCTCTTTTCCACAACTTGTCACTCTTGTTTTATTTGTTAATAGAGTTTCTATAGCTGCACTGAACTGTCTTGCTATCTGGGTTGATGTCATCTGTGTATTTCATTATGAATCGATGCCAAATAATTTTCTTAAGCGGCCAGCCTGTAGTGGCACATTTTTTGGCCCTGACCTGTTTGTTTGCATACATCACCACAGTTTTAAACAATTTTCGAATTTCTGATATGATGCTTTTCGCTACTTCAAGTCCATACAGAGCTGTGCCAGTTTCTGTCATTCTTCCATATGTGTCATACTCTCTCAATCGTATGCATAACCTCACAGTTCATCAGATACTTTCTCATTGATTTTCTTAACATGAAAATTTTTCCCATCTACCTTAACTTTTTGTGAAATTAGAATCTGAAGTATCTCCTTGAAATTCTTTATACACGTACTGAAAGAACAGGTGCAAAACCTTTCCCTATTTCAGTGTAATGAAGGTGAATCCCGCTATTGATCTTGAGGTACAACCAACCACTTTTCATTACATTTCATGTAATATAATTAACATAAACTTTTTTTAATAGCTCCTTTAATTTTCCCCACCTGCTTATTGATAAGGATAAAATATAAATGTTTCAAAAATGTGTGTTTCTAATTTAATGTTAACTACTTGAAAATTTTTAGGGAGTTGATTTTATACTTAAACTTGTTTTTATTAAATCTGTTTTAAGTTAAATATTAGATTGTGTTTAATAATTATGATGCATAGTACATAGTTATGTTTTATTCTTAAAATAATATTGCAAGGGAGTTGCATAGATATTTGTTTTAATTTATTCAGTTCTATTTGGTGATAAAACACTTCCCTTTTTTTTCACACATTTAAATTTTTATTTAAAATTCAATCAAACAGAAATTTGCTTAAATTTTTCCCTTTAAAAGTTCTTAATTTCCAATTAAAGAAATGTATATGAATCTGCATATCACATTAATGTGTTGAAAATGCAAATTTTCAAAAAGTTAATGCCCAGCCACATACAACTCATATCAGCTGAAATGCTTCTCAAGGGTGTACAGATGCTTTTCTGGTCAGCCAGACCACTTGATCTCTCATTAATCAAGAATTAGTGGACATGATTGGCCATTAGTTGAATATCCTCCCATCCTCTTTATATGGAACTCAACAACATGGTTCATGACATTCCAAGAAATTATATGGCCATTTAATGAACTAATGCTGTGTCAATTATATTGATGAATGTATTTTAATCTTAAGCAAAAAATCTATATGGTTCTATAATTAAATGGGTGTAGTAATTCTGTGTGAAATATTATGAAGCATAATGTCATTTATAATTTAACCTTTCAGACAACCATGCAATATATCTTCTGGGGAGGGGAATTAAAGAATAAGGATTTTTTTCTTTGTTCTTTAAAATTTGATTTTTTATTATGTTTTAGACAATTTTGTATATTTTGTAGTTGAAAAGCACTCTATTGGTATTAGGACCACCTTCAGTATCCGGCAGTATTTATCACACTTCAACGATCTTAGAGAAAAACAATATTCTCAGTACTTTCAGGTATGCTTTTTAGATTATTTTCAAATTTCAAATTTCTTCTTAGAAACTTCTTTTTTTTTATAACATTTGTAGCATAAATTTTAAGATAAGAGAAATATTTTAGAATGTCTGCAGTTTTTTAACTTCATGCGAAAACAGAAGATTAATCTTTCAAAACATGGTGACTCCTTGTTTTGTATATATTAAATTGCATTATTTTTCATAATGCCTGTCTACCTTCAGTAGCTTATTTTTAAATTGCATTATTTTTCATAATGCCTGTCTACCTTCAGTAGCTTATTTTTTATTTTAGTAAAACACACATCATAGAATTATAAATATATCACAGTTTTTAACATTTTATTGATTCCAAAGAGTTTCACAACTGAAATCTTGCGAAAGAAGAATGCCATCAGTGTCATAAGAGCATAATTTTGATGCGAAGCCTGATTGGCAGAAATATATCTGAAGTATTTTTTACAATATTGTTATGAATTTTGTATTTATGTAAATAATTTTAGTCAAACTATTAGTAAAATTGTAGTATCTTTTGTACAACATTAACATGAAATGCTTCAAGAGACGAAGCTCTGCCAAAAAATAAGATTACAGGGGCAAGTCTATTTAACATTGAAGTAAATGGCTATTTATCTAAATTAACAAGATCTTGCCAAGCTGGCGATGGTTTTGGTGACTAATTCTTGTCAGCAAATTTATCGAAAAATTGCTAAAAGTCGCCAGACTTGGTGACATTTTGTCCAGTCCCTGTATAACTGTAATTAGTACTGTAGTTGGATAACTGTAATTGATCCCTTAAGGTTGCCCTTATATGTAATTTCTGGTATCTTGTATAACTGCACTTATTGTAATTTCTGGTTTCAGTACCTGGTCCTTATATGCAATTATAGGCCCTTATAATCATGTATGTCTTCCAGTAATTTTGAAAAATAGAAAGTACTCGAAATTTCCCAGTGGCCAAGGGAAAACTGTGTAAGACTGAAGAGAACTTCAATTCTCAATTTTTCAGTTTGGAGTATTGAGAGATCTCTGTGTGAGCTTTGCTCTTGGGATGTTCTTTGCATTGCATTGTGTTTAATGTTCTTAATTATTTGCAGTGTTAATTACTGACCGTTTGTACATTAAGAATAGTGTACAAATATTTATATTGAAAGTTTCAGAACAGTAAATTGTTTCTTTTGGAAAAATAAATTTTATCAAGCTATTATGGGTTTTGTGTGCATTCAATCCATTACAAACCCATTCACTATTAATGTTTGATATTTTTATGACAACCTCAAAAGATTCTGAAAAATGAATAGTCATTTGTCCCGCATGTAATAAACCAGCAGTATTCAAACTATGGGTCGTGATCGGGTTGAAAGGTGGATAAAAGTCCCCATAAGCTTAGCTGATGATGTATAACTAAAGTTGACACTTGGGTCACGAAATGTTTTTGGATTTGCACTGCCTTTGAACATCATAGAATTTGCTGCTGATTTTGCTGTGTTTGATTAGATGAAATATTTCACTTCTCATGTAATACCGTTTTTCTTTGATTGTGTATTTGTTTTCAAGAATTAAACAAAAATTTTGCGATACCAAACGTAATAGTGAGATCAAAGATGTAAACATCACTTTTATATTTGACTATTCTTTTTTTAAATCTTTATCATAATTCTGGTCATTTTTGTTTTTCTTATGCTGGTGTCATTATTCTTCTTTGGTCCATGGTGTTTCATTTAATTATTTATATATATGTATACATATGCATGTGCAAAAAGTGCTGAAAACACGATGAAATTAAAGAGATATCACTGTGAATTTGAGCAGAGATGTGCATGGAACAAAAGCTATATAGCAGTTCACTCTTATTCGCTGATATTCCTAGTTTGTCATCTCACATAGTTTGTGCATAGACTAATACAAAATTTAATGTGTCTAACTTTGCAGTAATATTATCTTTTAATTTTGTCCTGTCTCGGTTACTGCATGACTGTGCGGTCCAGCTAGCATTTAGAAGTTCCGGAGTTCAAGTTCTAGTGAGAGCAATGCAGATACTTTATATTTCCTATCCTAGAAATTTTAATGACTGCAACCATGTATATATAGTTCACCTATCAAGTGACCTTCTTTTGTGTTTTGTGGTATAGTTTTGCTATTAGCTTAAGTGTTCATTGCCCAAGATGTCATTTCTCACCCAAAATGTTTTTTATTTCGTAAGTTTGTTTGTGAATCAATTTGTTCATGATGAGAAACATTTGAAGCATGAGATTCCACTTCATTTTTATTCTCAGAATTCATGATTTCATATGTGTATTCTGGTTGGGGATTTTTGAATTTTTTCTCATTTTACAAATTTTTCAACACTATCTGCATATATCTAAGCTATCTGCAGTAGCTACACATGAACCGTACTATCTTTACATCTATGTAACTTTAATAAAGATAAATGTTCTTGCTTTTTTTTAAAATTATTGAATTCCTTGTTTTAAAATAGATAATACTGAAATAAATAAAATATATAATATTAAGTTTTAGCTGAAAATTGCAGATGCATAATAAATTTGAAATGTGAAGCTGTGTAAAATGTTTATTACTAATTGCATGTGTTAAAAAAGCAAAAATTAGAGAGATATTTTATGTGAAATAAGCTTATTACTCATACTTACATATGTGCAAAAAGCCAGCATTACAACTGTAATTGTAATTTTTATCTGTCTTTATATATTATTTCTTGTTGCGTGTGTATGGGTTCATAATAGATTGAATGCACAAGTGCAATAAAAGGTTAAAATTTATTCTTAGCAAAAGAAATATAATAGAACAGTGGACTTTTTCTCAGAAATATTTGTACAAATGTTCACAATATCATGCAGCAATAATCAGTAGTTATACTTTAAATTACTAAAAACATTAAATAGAATGCAAAGGGCAGCACAGAGAAAGCTAATCTGATAAACATTAGCAGCAGCTAACTAAACAACTGGGCTGAGATGTCTCTCTCTGACTTTTTAAAGCTTTCAATTGGTTGCGAGAGAGTTCTAGTAATTTCTGCTGGAAAGCAATAAGAGGATGTAATTACAGTTACAGCTAACACAGTGTTCAATGACATTTATTCAGTTTAAGTATAAATTACCAAGATAAATTTTTAAAGAAATTTTCTCATTTTAGAAATTTTTCAACACTATCTGCATATATCTAAGCTATCTGCAGTAGCTACACATGAACGTACTATCTTTACATCTATGTAACTTTAATAAAGATAAATGTTCTTGCTTTTTTTAAAATTATTGAATTCCTTGGTTTAAAATAGATAATACTGAAATAAATAAAATATATAATATTAAGTTTTAGCTGAAAATTTGTTATGTTAAATGCACATGCTCTTGCATTTTTACTTTTTTGGCAGAGCTTTCTCTTAAATTTCGTCTCGCGCTGCATTGCATGGGGAAATACAATTTCAATTATAATTCTGCTAAAAATATCTAACAAAAAACAAAATTTGTAATGATATTGTTACGGATTTGGTATTTAAATAGCTAATGTTAGTTGAATTGTAAATGAAATGGTTTTATTTCCCGTGCAGTGCAGCGCGTGACGAATATTAAAAGAAAGCTAAGCCGGAAAATTCAAAATAGAAGAGCACGTGCATGTAACATTAATAAATATCTCTTTTTGATTTCGAGAAATTTCCACAAAGTTCTCGCGCGTGATTTAAAAAATCTTATAAAAAAGTGGAAAACCTCTCAATTCAGTTAGTCAGTGATTATTAGTTAGTTTGTTGTTGTTTTAAGAAAACTGCTCTTGTTGACTGTAGCGAATTCACAGATTAGCTTTCTTTAGCTGTTTTAAGTTCTCTTAAACGTTTGAGTAGTTAGAAGATAACTACTATGATATATTGTGATACTGCACTATTATTTGAGGACATTTAATCATGTTTGTTGTGATAATAATAAATTTTCTTCATTTTTCATCAGACTTGTGCATTCATTTCGTAACGAACCCGTACGCACGCAATAATTTTGGATGTCAGGAGTGGGGGTTTTAATGCCAATTACAAGAGCGATGGAAGAACAATTCAGGCAAATTATGACTGCATTTGCTGCTTTCCAAGAAAAGATGGAAGAGGCTGTCAACTCCATTAAAGAAGAAATGAAACTACTCAGGAAAAGATTGAAGCAGGACAACAAAAGATTAAAGTAGGACAACAAAAGATTGAAACAGGTCAAGAAGAAATAAAAAGAGAAATTACCTTCATAATAGAAAATAAATTTGAAGCTATGGAAGGCAGAATTGACACAGTTGAAAATAAAGTTGGGCAAATTGAAGAAAACGTTTCTTCCGTAAAAGATCAAATTGAAGAAAGAGTTCCTTCAGTGAAAGAAGAAATAGAAAAAAGCATTTCTTCTGTAACAGAACATATAGAAAGGAGAGTTTCTGCTGTGGAAGAACGAATTGAAGGAAGAGTTTGTGCCATCCAACACCAAATCGAACAACAAATTGATGATAGGGTTTCTGCAGTAGCAAAAAAAGTGGATATTTTAAAGAAATTCGTAGCGACGGCAGGGAACAATAGTGATGGTTTTAAATTTTTGCCCATGCCTGCTCGTCCCTCTCTGAAGTTATCTACATATGATGGGAAGACTTCTTAGCAAGTGTATAAAACACAATTTTTCTATAGTGGCGGAAGCGAATGGATGGGATTCCCAAGCTAAGGCCTGTCACCTCGCCGCTTCTTTGAAAACAGACACAGTGAATATCCTTTAGACTCTTCCCTAAAACAAAAGGTTAGATTTCGAAGCTCTGTCCGGCGCGTTGGAGCTGCGCTTTAGGGAGAAGTGTTTAAAAGACTACAGCAGGCTTCAGTTAAAATCCCGCCAACAGAAAAACACGGAAACACTCCAGGAATATGACATCACTATCCGTCATCGTAAGTGATCATCACACAGAAACACCGACGCCCTGTCTAGAAGACCTTGCTTGGAAATCTCCCGACATTATTCCAGGGTCAAAGCGAAATACGAGCTCCTGAGTCCGGTTAGCACGCCAAATTACAACATCAACATCGGCTGATCGAGAACCGTGGAAGTGATAATGAAGTCAGGAAAAGACCAGCTGGACAGGAAGACCGTGACATTAAACCCATAATTGATTTGATGGAGTCATCAAACAGAAAACCTACATGGCAGGACATCTCTATCTATAGTCCTAAAAAAAAAAAAAAAAATACTGGGCGCTCTGGAATTCACTTCACATTCGAAACGGCGTCTTATACCGAAAATTCGAATCGAATGATGGGAAGACATTCCAATGGCAACTGATACTTCTAAGATCCCAGTTTCCTGATGTCCTTAAAGAACTACATAACAGCCCTACAGGAGGTCACTTTGGAATAATGAAGACCTTCCAGAGAGTTCGTGAGCGCTTTTACTGGAATAATGCAAAGGATGGCATGCAAAAGTGGTGCCAATCTTGCGATGCCTGTGCAGGTCGGAAAGAACTGAAGAGACGCAGCCGAGGCAAGCTGCAACGTTGCAACGTAGGGGCACCTTTTGAACGTATCGCCTTCGACATCTTGGGATCTCTGCCACGAACTGCTGATTGCAACAAATACATACTCATTGTCATTGATTACTTCACCAAGTGGCCCGAAGCGTACCCTATTCCTGATCAAGAGGCTGTCACAATAGCTGAGGTGATGGTACAGCACTGGATTTCCAGGTTCGGAGTGCCTCTTTAGTTACAATCCGATCAGGGAAGGAATTTTATGTCGGCGGTAATCAAAGATTTCTGCAAACTACTCAGCATTGACAAAACTCAAACGATGCCATTACATCCCCAGTCGGATGGCATGGTAGAGAGGTTCAATCGAACCATCCTTAATAACCTCTCATTAATGGTTTCCAGAAACCAACAGGATTGGGACAAGAAATTACCACTGGTTTTACTGGCTTACCGCAGTGCTGTCCACGAGACTACCGGCTATTCCCCATCACAGATGCTCTTCGGTCGTGACCTTCGTCTGCCTTGTGATCTCTTGTTTGATCGCCCTCTAGGTGCTCCTTCATGGCCTGAGGAATATATTTAAGATCTCCAGGTCCGGTTTGAAGGGATGCACAACTTTGCACGAGAGCGAGTCAATTTGGCGACGGAGAAGATGAAGACCGGCTACGCACGAGAGCTACTGAACATTAATTCCACGAAGGAGACAAGGTGTGGTTATGGAATCCGACTCAACGGAACGGACTTTGTCCGGAATTGCAGTCACCTTGGGATGGTCCGTACACGGTCCTAAACAGGCTGAATGACATTGTGGTTCGGATCCGTAAGTCTTCAAACTCTAAGCCTAAAGTCGTTCATTACGACAGGTCAGCTCATTACTATGGCCATAGTACGTAATGTAAATAATTGTAAATAGTGTAAGACCATGGTCCTTTTTGTTTCTAAATGTATATTTAGTATTTGATTTGTATTTGATAGCATTTGATTTGTTTTATTTATTGCATTTATTGTTCATGTTGTTTATTATTGTAATGTAATGCTTATTATTGCATTTATGCCACAGTTGTAAGTTTGGCTTCCGTTTGAGTAGTTAGAAGATAACTACTGTGATATATTGTGATACTGCACGATTATTTGAGGACATTTAATCATATTTATTGTGATAATAATAAATTTTCTTCATTTTTCATCGGACTTGTGCATTCATTTCGTAACGAACCCGTGCGCACACAACAATATATATATACGTGTGTGTAAGCTAGAAAATGTGTGAATCTCAAAATTCTAATTTATATCAGCAACAGTCATTAATTTTGCCCTTTGTTCTAAAAATAATAATAACTTTTCTGGACTGCATTATTTCTAGATCAATCTCTGACATTCTAATGACATAGATTGTCATGATCAACCTTGCGTAACACTGACGATGTCGTTTATTTAGAACCTGAACTCAAAATTTTGAGAACTGAAACCTTTTTTTTTTTCAATAAGCTACCATATTAGATAATTGTGCACTTCTATGGATCTTCCCGTTAAGATACTACAGTCAAAAGTCTTTAATCCGGACTCGTTGAAACTTCGGCAATTCCAGATTATCGCTTTTTCCGGATTATAGATCATCAGCCTAAATCTGGTAAGATGGCATGCAAAAATTATAAAATTAAAAATATGAAACCGTAATTTATGAAATAAAGAGCAATTATGATCTAAAGGGTATCAAAATTTACAAAAAAAAAAAAAAAAAAAAAAAAAAGCTTAATATTTATTTATTTACTTTATTAAACATTTCTTTCAACGCGTGCAAGCGTAAAGCATACATTACGCATAGTCGAAATTAAAAAATTGCAAGGAGGAAACTAATGTCTATTTGTGATATTTATAATGACGAGGAATTTGATTTAAATCATATCAAAGACGGAGTACTTCGAGATGAAATACTACATTTAGTAAGGAATTATAAGCCGAATAAAATAAAAACATCTGCCCTGAAGGTAAGGATAGTGTTGACAGATCAACTTCCAGTTTATTGCATGCTGCGTATCCCCCGCTTGCAGAGAAGCGTGAAATTGATAAACATATTTCGGAATAGTTAGAGAATCAAAGGTTATGCCTTTATCCATTTTTTGCAGCAGTTCTACTTTTTTTTTATTCCACTTTTTGTTGAACAAAGCGAAAGCATGTTTCGCTTTGTTTTGATACAAAGCCAAACATTATTTTGCTTCCTTTGGTAGCTCCAGAATCAGAAATTCTTTGTGACGTAATCGAAAGTTCAAGCTTACTTTTATAAAATTGCTCTAACAGTCTGCAAAAAGTAATAAGCCAGATTCAATTAGAAGATTAAGGAACAACGCAATCTGCAACATTACTGAAATAGATAATTTTAGCTTAGCTTATACCGTCCGTTATACATTAAACGCACCTGCGTAAACGTATTATGTGCATCTGTAGATGCATATGAGCATGCGTAAAGATATTATGCGTTGACGCACGCGCACAAAGTTTGTAGCTTTGAGGTCCGGATTATGGACGTCCGACTTTTGACTGTATTTCACTTTACTTTCTTCCTATTGCAGCTGTGTCAAAAATGTAAATGTTCTTGAATAGGTATGATTAGAAAATTGTAGCTGCGAATGTCAATTGAAATTAAGTTGAATATTTAATCTTATTTTTCTGAATATTTAATCTTACTTTAGTGCCAAGTTTACTCTTCGGTATGGATCTAGATTCTATGCCATCAACATTAATACATCATTTTCTATTACATACACTCACGTATAAAATTTATTTTTGATATAATTTCTTCTAAATATATATCACGTATATAATTTCTTCTAAAAATGCAGTTTTCTGTCATATTTTCTGAGAAAAGAATAGCCAATCTCAGGCTGGTTTTCTAAAATCCATAGAGTTGAGAAATGGTTTTAAAAAAATGAGGAGGAGTAGAGATTCTTATTGATTTTATAAATTAAAAAGAAAAAAATGCGACATTATGCTATATATTCATGCTGTATTTATTGGAATTAAATTCAGATGGGAAAAATTGCTTAAAATGGGGCTGTTTGAATCATGGTAGATGAAAATCGGCCATGCAAAAACAGAATTACCCTCTCCTCCACCCCAAACTTTGTTAAATTAGAATTGTATGGAAAAGAAGTATTTTCATAAAAAGAAGGTTAAGTATATTTATCAAAAGTTTTCAGCTAACATTTGACAAAACTACTGAGTTTTTCTTTTATTTAAAACAAATATATAAAAGTATAATGAAATTTGTACTGTAGATTGTGCTAAATGAAATAAAGTTGTTATATGTTATGTCTTACTTCATTATTTCTTTTTTTAATAGGTTTTAAATTATATTATGAAAAATGTTGGATTAACTGAAAAAGATTCTAAAGGTTTTGTATGATTTTTTTTAATCTTTCATCAGAGTTCTTTTTTGGTTGTGTTTGTCATGGTCTTTCAATTTTGTATATTTTTCAACAAGTATTTTCTGATATCTTGATATTTAGTTATTGTGATAAGCATAAGATCTTTAGATGCATTATGGTGTTTGAATATGTATCATTAACAAATAGGACGTTAACAAAATATAACATTGCCAAAATTTAACAAGGTACCAATATGCAAAAACATGCATGATCAAAAAATTGTTGTTAGTCATTTTTTTTTTTTTGGCCCCAGTTTTCATGAAATTTTGAAATGCAAGAATGTGAATACTGATGATTAGATAACTGATTTATAAGCAATTACAGATCAGTCTTCAGTATATGCAAACCATAAATAATAAGAAACAATATAAACTATATAAATTAGTAAATTTTGTTCTTTAGTGACACATTAAATGCCAAGTCAGTTTCTCTTGATGAAGTCAGTTTTCCATTTTTGCACACTATAACTGAAGATCATCAGTAGAAAATCTACGAAGTATTATTTTGATATTAAAATTTCATTTTAAAAACTGCTGTGTCGAAATTAAATTAAAATTATGAAGAAAGAAGTATTGTTGAAGTTTTCTACTCTCATTTTTATCTTTTTTTTTAATATAATATATTCTAATAACATTGAATCATTTTAATGGAATTAGTTAGTATATGCCTAGGAGAGGTTAAGATTTTTACTACAATTATTATAAAATGTTATTGCTTTTATACCAGGTTTTACTCTGTTGGCTGCCAGTCATTTTGAATTATGTCTTTAGCATTAATTGCTAAAATGTTTGACCAGAGACATTTTCCTTAAAATTTTTGTTTATATTTTTTGACATTTATATTATCAATATAACCCTCTGTTCATTTTGCCATTGTATAAATTGAACAACTAGTTATTTTCAAAATGCTTAACAGTTTTACATAAAATTTGTCATCTATAGTATTATCGTATCACCTTGTAATGTGTGTCATTAACAGAAAAATTAGTAATGTAATTAAGCACTTAAAGCATTTGTTGGTGCTTCAGTTTTTAATATAGAATGTGAATAAGGTGAATGAAAATGTTTATACTTTGAACTGAAAAATCAAATATTGCTGCCTGCTGCCACTAAGATTTGGGAAAATTTTGGAATTCTCTCAAAATTTGAGAGTGAAATTATGCATGCCCCTTTTTTCATGCTTTTTCTTTCTGACTGTTTCAGCAATTTTTTTTTTTTTTTTTTTTTTTTTTTTTTTAATGTAGCATAAAATAAATCTTGTAAAAACAAATTTTATGTTTTAAAATATACAGTACAAAGTTCAAGATGTTGACTTGTCGGGACTTCAGCTATTCCAGATTTTAGATCATCAGTTTAAATCAAAGAAGATAACAACAACAAAAAAAAAAAAAAAAAAAAAAAAAAAAACCACAAAACTAACAATGTGAAATAGTCGTTTATGAAGTAATGAAACATTTATAACCTCAAGAAAGTCAAAATTTCACAAAAAATCTGAATATTTATTTGTTTGTTTTATTAACAAATTTCTCTTAATGTAGCTGTTTAAGCTTCTTCATTTTATTTTTTTTTGGGGGGGGCTAATACTTTCCTTTCATTCCCTTTAATTTTATACATAATTTCACATACATAATTTTATACATAATACATAATTTTATACATAGACATAATTTCTTGTTTAATTCCAAAGTTCCACTGTTCAAGTACTGAAACTGTCATGTCTATAATTCCTATTAAATTTAAATTGAAGCTTTTTCTTCTCAATAACCTCTTTGTCACTCTCGGTAGTGATATTTCCTGGAGTTAAAACCATACAACGTATTTCTCTGTATGTTAGTTGATTGTTGATTTGGGCATTATCATCCCAGTGGAAAACTTCAGATATTAATATATAGTGGATAACTATATATGGTGGATATATAGTGTATAACTTCAAAACTTCTTTAATTATTATCAATTCTCCACATTTTTTCACTAATTCCAGTAATTGGGAAATTTTGCCAACGAAAAGGTTATTGTTTTGCCTAGTTTTGAAATCTCACTTTCTTTAGCCCAAATTTCTTCAAGGCTTCTTCAAGCAAGTACTGAATATGCGTTTGTTTATCAGATCCTGCTACAATTTCAACATTAGAAACTCTTTTCGATGTATTCGAACTTTAATTTTGGTAAGATAGCTGTGGTAATTATAGCCTGTAAAAAGAAAAAAACTTGATCATAAGTCGAGGAAAAGCACAATTTGCTATGTGAACTGAAGTTGTGTTCTTTGGAATGTAATTTCTTTTCCCTACTAGTCTGCCAAAAAAAGAAAACCTGTATAAGTTACACCCATCTTCATACAAATATGTTTTGGTACATGCTGTTTAGCTTGAAATGATTGAGATCACTTATGCAGGCACCTGGGCTGGAAAGGCATATCGTGTGTGGAATGGCATGAAACAACTAACATAGCATTAATATATGACAAAGTCCATGGCAGGGAATTACAATTCCCGGTGATGAAAACAATGCAAAAGAGGCAACTTTGTAGGTGCGATGTGAAGAGGCATGGAGAGTGATCAGCAGCTATTGATTGGCTGGAGAAAGCAGGAGAATAGATATTGACAAATATATTTACAATGCGCAAAAAAGAAAAAAGGCACAGTTCTATATCTCCCAATCTACTGGGCCACTTGACGAAATTCAAATTGCATTTTTCTTGTCTCAAAAGTGCGACTTAAGATGTGCATTAGATTTATATATGTAGCACTGTTCTAATATAGGTATTTTGACACAAAATCGGACTTTTTCTGAATTTTTTCCCATATTTCGATTCTATGATTCAAATTATGCCTAAATATTAAGTTTTGTAAAATTTGGTGTGAAATGCATGGAGAAATTAAAAAATTTATCTTGGTGCAATTTTTTTCAGTTTAATTTTTTGTAGGTATACTTAGAAATACATCTACTTTAAGATGATGGTAAAAATTTTATAGTTTGTAATTCCAAATTTTTTCAAAAAATTTTAAAATTTATTTTAAAATACAAATTTTAAAAATAAATCATAAAAAACAGGTGAATTTTATTTGGAATGAACCAAAATTTCGAATTCTGGAAGAAGGAATCAAGTAAGTGTAATAAATAATGAATTATTAATAAATATATCAAATTCAATTAGCATTGAGGAGCTAAAATTTGTAAGGCTAATTGTTTTAAAACTACTCATGCAATTTTTACAAAACTTGGCAGTTTGGCATAATTTGAGTCGTAGAATTGAAATATGAAAAAAATTTGGCATGTCATTTCAGAAAAGTCCGATTCTGTGTCAAAATACTTATATTAGAAAGTGCTATACATAAATCTAATACATATTCCAAGTCACACTTTTGAGACATGAAAAATGCAAGTTGAATTTCGTCAACTGGCCCAGTAGAACGGGAGACATAGACCTTCCCACTTTTTCTTTGTGCCATAAACTGTGTTTACTTATGTAATAGTCGCCTTCGCATAATAGTTGCACCCCTGTTTGTAAGCAGAAAAAATCATCAAAAGTGTACAATAATATGTAGCAGATTTCCATGCATAATAGTCACACCTAGATTTTCACAATGAAAAGTTGGCCAAAAAAGTGCAACTATTACGGGAGTAAACATAATATGTATACACAGTACAAAGTCTGAAATTCGGAGATCGTCAGGACTTGGGCGATTCAGGATTTGGGGTTTTTCCGTTATTAGAATATCAGTTTAAATCTAGTAAGATGGCAAGTAGAAATTATAAAAATAAAAATATGAAATCGTGATTTATGAAATAATGAAGTATTTATGATCTAAATGGTATCAAAATTTACAAAAAAAAAGCTTAATATTTATTTGTTTAACTTATTATACATTTCTTTCAATGTAAGTTGCATCGTTTTTTGTGTTAATACTTTCTCTTTAATTTTGTAGACAGACATAATCTCTTGTTCAATTACATTGTTGAAGTCCTGTAACTGTGTCGAGAATTCCAACTAACTTGTCAATCGAAATCTTTTCATTTTCAGTAACTTCTCTGTGACTTTCTTCCTATCGGTAGCGGTATTTCCTAGATCTAGAACCATACTACAGATTTCACCATTCATTCATTGATTGGTGATTGAGAAGCATTATCATCACAATCATTGACTGATGATTGAGAAGCATTATCATCACAATCATTGACTGATGATTGAGAAGCATTGTCATCGCAATAAAAAACTTCTTTTATATCATCTTCATTTATTACCGCTTCTCCACATTTCTTTACAAAATCTGTTAATTGGAAAATTTCACCTTTGTTTTGTGATATCCGAAAACCTTTAAAAATCACGTCTATCAACATCAAATTTAGCTAACCTTCACTCTACATATTTGGGTATTCATCATGAGCTTGGTGAGTAACAAGTTGTTCCCTTAAATTTTATCTCGCTTCTATCGTGCACTTAGACAATTAAACCTGAATTGTATTAGTTATTTATTATACTTGCACATGCTCTATTTCTTGCACATGCTTAAGGCTTATCAGAGTTCTGAATAAATAAATTCCCACATATGCTTAAGCCTAATTGAGGGCAGGCACTAGATATCTTACCGTCTGATTGCAGTCTCTGTGGGTCCTAAATTCTTAATCCGGTGCGGCCATATGAGCCCTGGAGCTGGTTCTGGTTTTATGTAAATAACAAATCAGTTATTCTTAATTCAAATTGCCCTAAATGTAATCTTTGGGTCTATGAGTATCATCAACAAATCTATTTTTTACATATGGAAATAAATTTTTGTTAAATTTTTCATCGTGAAAATTTTTTAGCGAATTTAATTTAAATCTGTACGCCAAGTGTAATGTCAACATAAAAGGTTACCATACTCCTTTATTATTCAATTACTAACATAAAAAAATATGTTTAGCTATCACTACTTGAGCCATTACTCAAGTTGTCATGTGTTGATAAACATGCAGTGATAAAAGGAAAGTATAATAAATAATGATTCGCCGTGTTGGCGTCAGATCAACTATGTATCTGTGTGGAATGTTTTGGTTTGAGATGTGTGTCAAGCAGATATGCAGCAACAGAGCCAAATTACTGATCATATAAATTTATGCTAAAATGATTGTTTCTTCAATAATAAGGTATTTTATTTAGTGTGAAGTGAAATAAAAAATCGGGACTCTCCAGATGTTTTATTATGCATGGAGGGGGGCATCAAATGCGATGCGTAAAGCCTATGCGAAAAACGTTGGTGGTTTTGAGGTCTGGATTTTAGATTATTCCGGATATTGGACGTCCGGATTTTGGATTTTGTACTGTATATATATAAACAGGAATCTGTTCACAGCCATAATCATAGATGGAAAACTACTTGGCTAGTAGAACTAAAAGTGATATATGAAAAATAGGTTAATTAGTGGTCTGTTCAAGCAGGTTGTATATCATAATGAAGTTTTTAGTATTGCTACTTGTGTTTTTGTTTGGGTTATGTTTTTTGTTGATCAAGTTGAGAAATTTGGAAATGCTAATATCAGTGAAAATTTTGAAGTTAATTTTTTAATGGCTGATGCATAACTTTTGTTGGATCTAACAGTAGAGCTGCATGCAAATTTGCAGTATTTTTTAAACTGTAGAAATCCATGATAAGAGCTTTGCGTGATTACCTGGATGGTTTTCAGATTTTGTGACAAAGTTTAACAGGATCGTAACTGAATTGTAACTTCATTGATGTTCTGAGCTGTCAGCACATGAACTTTTAAGGTAAGAAGCAGAGTTTTATTTTTGAAATGTCTGAGTAGTGGAACTTTAAGAACTTTGAAATTTAAAGGAGTTAATTAAGAGGAAATTTCCTCAACTGAGCAACTAACTGGGAGTCTTTTAATGACAACTTTGGTGAGTCTATCTGATTTATGCTTAACCGTGTAATATTCTGTAGAATTTCTGTCTAAATAATTAGTGATGATGTTGGAGTCGTTCTTCATTTCTGGAATCACTGTAAGGGCTTCTGCATGAGATTTTCCTGTGAAGTTAACTGTTGTGTTAATGCCCAAGTTACTAAGGATGTTATGATGTTCAGCTGCAGTTTCGATTAAGGTGTGTAGCATAGTATTAGACTTATTGTCACTAGGGTTAACAGAGCCATATTTTTTACTGTTGTCATGAGTTTGGTCAAGGTTTTCAACATCATCTATAGTAGTTAATCTATTGCTAATAAGTATTTGCAGAGGATTTTAAGGTTTTGGTCATTTAGCAGCTCTCTTACTGGAGGTAAACTCTTCCAAAGAAAGAACAAGTCACATTTTCAGAGATATTATGGAGCAAGTTTTCTCGCAGAGAATTTCTAAGAGTCAAAACGAAATGTTTATGATTAAACATGGATGTTCAAGAGCACAAGACCTACTTCACTACATGCACAAGGTTGAATGTCCCTTGTTTAGGCCAGAAACAAAAATGTTCCCCATCCTCTCCACAATCACTCGAGCTAGAAGTGCAGTCATGGCTGACTTCTGTCATATTGTTATTCCTAAGGAAGCCAAAATGAAAGCTACTGAATAAGTGGCATTATCTAATGACTTTGTGTATTGAAAGTAAACGAGTAATTATTTTAATACTGGATTTACTAAGTTGGACTCAACATCTTACTGTCTCACATGTTTTCCTCAATCTGTGCTGCTGCTTACTATACAGAGCATTGACCATTGTAGACCATTGATCATGATGGGTTGATCAAGCATATAACCATTGTAGTTTTAAAATGTAGATGAAAATGGTCTTGTCTATTAACAGTTAAGCACATCATGTTGCCAATAAAAGGTGAGAGATCTAAAGGCTTTTGGTTGCTTCCTGAAATCATATACCCATTGCTGTTTTTACAATGCAGGGAGGTGAAAATGCCTCTTTTTTTCTTTTACAGATTATCTTAGAAGACTACCCTTGAGGAATTTTTAATCTGTTATGCCCCCTTCACAGGATCAACTGAGACAACTGAAAAGAGCCACTAAGAATTAGCAGCTAAGAATATGAGTTTTAATTCATGTATCTGCCAATCAATGCAGTGCCTTTAAAGTGACATATAGGAATCTCAGCGAGTCAGGAGAAGAATAGCTTTTATTGCAACCCCCCTTTTTTTACTATTATCATTTCTTAGATTTTTAGTTTTTTTAGATTAGATTTTTTTCTTAGATTTCTTAGATTTTGTTAAAAAAAAAATTCTGGTTGTCAAAAGTCTGGATATTAGATCATTCCAGATATTGGATGTTTGGATTTCGGACTTTGTACTGTATGTATTTTTTTTTTTTTTAAAATAGAACATTAAGGAAATTATTTCATTTGATTTTATTGTAGGATTTTTTAACTGATGTTATAATGTCTGTAACTATTATTTTTTTTTTACAGAAGTGCGTGGAAAATTCCTTGCTGAAATACTTCTAACAAACCAGAGGGCCTTCGATCAATTTTTAAGGCATAGAGATAATGAAGTAATTGTTGAAATCTGTTTATGTTGTTTTATAGATCAAATTATGCTTACTGCTCTGTTTTTCTGAATTTCATTTAATTCACATAAACATTTTAAAGTATAGATTTTTTTCATCTTTGTATATATTTACATAAATATTGATTTATATCAGTGTTTCCCAACCTTATTTGTGCTATGCCCCACCTAATCTTCTCTAAAATTATTAAGTTTCCCTTAGCCAGGGTTGCCACGCTACCTGGAAAACCGGGAGAACCGGGAAAAGTCAGGGAATTCAAAAATTGACCAAAAAATTCAGGGAAAAGTCAGGGAATTTAAGTATTTTTGTCAAAATCTGGAAAAGTCAGGGAAGTTCATACAATGATCCCGCCAAAAAAAGCGATTTTTGCGCCGACTTTGGAAGAGATAACTTTTTTGGCGAATTGCCTATCACGTGAGTGTCTGCTGGCATAGAGCCAATTTTCGCAGCTCCAATTTGATTGCCTTTTAGAAAGGCAAAGCAAGTTTCCCGCAACTTTTGGTTTCCAGTATTCTCGAGAATCGCATGTGCAGTGCATGAACTAAAGAAAGTACCTGTTCTCGTATAAAACAAAATGGGTTTAATCTTAGTATATACGGTACCATGGAGGTTAGAATCAAAGAATATGTATTGTAAAGAAGGAAAACCTCTCTGCAACAGACGTGGCTCCGTTCCATCATAGAGGGAAACAGCTGTGCATGCGTGATATATCTGCCGCCAAAGCTGGAAACCGGTGTCGAAGTTCGAAGGTCACGTTATCAAGAGTTCATAATATCCTTTAAAATTTCTTTAACCACTTGCGCTAAAAAGACGTGCCACGCACGTCGAGATGTTTTTGTCTCAAACTGCGAGCGACGTGAACACCACGTCGATAAGCATTTATCGCAAAAATGAAAATAACATGGTGCACACGTCGCCTAACAACGAGATTGTTTATTTCTCGAGTTACAGCTCTGGATTGCACTCGCAGATGCGGAGCGGCGTAAATGAGACACTTTACCGCTTGTTATATTGTAGCGCACGGCACCGCAACCGTGAAGTTTAGTCTTAGCGCAAGTGGTTAAACTCTAAATTAAAAGAAAATATTTTTTGGCGCAAGTAAATTAATTCATAGGATTAGTAATTTTCAGGGGGGGGGAAAACTACGAAAATCCGTTTTTAAAATTATTGCGAAAAATCCAAGAAGAAACGTCCTTTGATAAAACGTTTCTTCTTGGATTTTTCGCAATAATTTAAAAACGGATTTTCGTAGCTTTCTTTTTGTCAAAGAACGTTTCTTCTTAACACGTGTTTCTCAATTTCCCGGTACACATCGCGGAGAGGGAAATTCTGGCCGCCAGGTTCCGTCGCCAAATCCCTTGGCAAATTTTCCCTCCGCATTCTAGCGGCGTAATAGCATTTTACTTGTATGGAAATTTTCTTCTTTACATAGACCAAAGAATTAGAGATTCTTTGCATAGACGTTTTTTGGTTAAAATAATCTCCATGTATGGATTTGGCGACATGATGATGCGCAGTAAACGGGTCATTTTGGTCTTGGCGACAATTTTCAAAATCGTGCCAAAGCCTTACCGTATACTAGAATTTTACCGCAAAATCTTTTTAAACCTTTTTTTTTTTCTTTTTAATAAATACCTTGCCATTTTGCAGTAAAATAAAAAATAGTAATCTGTCATCTAGGCTAACCATGTAATATAACTATATTCGCTAAAATATCGTTGATTATTCTAATTCAATTTTTAAGTAATTATCTTTATTTTTATGTTATTCGTATAATTTAATGATGCTTCTTCCCTCTAAATTTATTAATTATTAGTAAATAATATTTCTAAATTTCAGGAAATTTTCTCTGGCATAATCTTGAAATTAATTCTAGCAGTATGATGACATACCATCACGAAATTTAATGCACATATTTTTTTTCTTATGTATGCTGCGAACTAAATATAAAATACCTCAATTTCTTAAAATAGATTTCTTTCTTTCGTTTAGCTGCAGAATGTCTGCTAAAAAAGCCTTATTTTATTCCAGATTGGGAAGATTCTAATCTCAATCTTCAATGGAGAAAACAACAACTATTATAATTATATTTGTGTTTTCAAGTGTTAAGGTGCTTTTTAAGAACATACCTCACACAAATTAAATTTACCTAAAATCTAACCTAACTATTTAGCATTGCGTTGTGATTTATAAGGACCGGATTAGCCTCGTGTTGAACTGGTGATGATCATGAGTAATAATTAAATAAAACATACATTTGTTATCCAATGTATATATCTTAAATTTTATTAAGTTTCTTAAGTGGAAAAGTAAACAAAATTATCAAACAAAGTATACCAAGAATAATTAAGAATAAATGTCCTCTGGGATTTATTGAATAATTAAGTGAATTTGCTACACAATACAAGTAATACCATAATTTACCTCTTAGCATAGCCAACGTACATTACGCGGATAGACTGGAATTTTCTTGAAACGCACCTGGAAAACCTGGAAAAGTCAGGGAATTTCATTCTCCTGTTTTGAGTGGCAACCCTGCTTAATTTATTCTCAGATTAAGGGAAGATTGTGAAGCTCATCTTCAATGCTTCTTTGGCGAAATGAAGCAACTCCAATGATGGAACACAGCAATAACTTTTATTTAACACTCAAAAAAAAAAAAAAAAAAAAAAAAAAAAAAAAAAAAAAAAGGCGACATTCAAACAAGAAGAGAAAACATATTCTAACATTTAAAAATAAATTACATTCTTCGTGCGAGAGTCGCACGAGGCACTCAAGTCTGGTTTCAAATATTGCCATTCACAAATACCCTAATGTTCATCTATTTAAATTATTTAAACTACAAGATTTTAATATTATTTAAAGCTGTTACAGCCTCTCCCCCAACAAAGAGACTTTTGCCGAAGGGAAAAGTTCTGTAAATTTCAAAAGTTTATAAGCTCGGCTTGCTCAATTGCTTAAAGAGAAAAGATAACTTCTCTCATAAGTTTCCAAATTTTCAGGCCGAAAATTTTAAGTTTTAAACAAATATTTTTACACCACATTTAAATAGGAAGAAAATGGACAATGTTCAAATTAGTCTTTTTTTTTTTTTTTCTTGAGGGCGCCTAGATCTCTTCCATGGTGGACCAGTTCCTCGGCTATAATTCACAGCAAAGCCTTTCCTCAGTTCATCTGTGCCTTTCGGATAATATTCATTTGTCATTTGCTTTCGACAATTGTTTTCTTCGTCTATTAGTAGCGGCTTTGATATTAAATCAAAAGCCGAAAGATGATGATAACTCTGCATTGCAAAATGATTCTCAATATTAATTTCTTTATCGTTTTTCAAATTTTCGTGAACATCTTCCACGTTTAATTCTGGTGATTTAACTTCTTCTTCAAATACATCTCTGGATGCTTTATTTTCTTCCTTCATCGGTTCAAAGATCTGCTCTTCAGCTATTTTTGTTTTCCTTTGAGCTCTAGTAGAAACGGCATTAAAATGGTATCACTAAGTTTACGTTCAAGTGATAAACTAATAAAATAAGGCAGTTCAGCGTTAACAGGAAAAAATAACCTGATATCTCTAATATTACGTTCAGTGATGAACTAATAAAATAAGGCAATTCAATATTAACAGGAAGTAATAACCTGGTATCCCTAATATTATGTTCAGTGATGAACTAATAAAGTAAGACAATTCAATATCAACAGGAAGTTACGTTCAGTGATGAACTAATAAAAGGCAATTCAATATCAACAGGAAGTAATAACCTGGTATCACTATATTGTGTTCAGTGATGAACTAATAAATAAAGCAATTCAATATTAACAGAAAGTAATAATCTGGTATCGCTAATATTGCGTTCAGTGATGAACTAATAAAATAAAGCAATTCAAATATTAACAGGAAGTAATAATCTGGTATCACTAATATTATGTTCAGTGATGAACTAATGAAATAAAAATACGCACGATTATTCGAACTCTCGCCGGTGCCTCCAAAATAATTAACACTGTGATGCTTCTTTGGCGAAATGAAGCGACTCCAATGATGGAACACAGCAATAACTTTTATTTAACACTCAAAAAAAAAAAAAAAAAAAAAGGCGACATTCAAACAAGAAGAGACAACATATTCTAACATTTAAAAATAAATTACATTCTTCGTGCGAGAGTCGCACGAGGCACTCAAGTCTGGTTTCAAATATTGCCATTCACAAATACCCTAATGTTCATCTATTTAAATTATTTAAACTACAAGATTTTAATATTATTTAAAGCTGTTACAGCCTCTCCCCCAACAAAGACTTTTGCCGAAGGGAAAAGTTCTGTAAATTTCAAAAGTTTATAAGCTCGGCTTGCTCAATTGCTTAAAGAGAAAAGATAACTTCTCTCATAAGTTTCCAAATTTTCAGGCCGAAAATTTTAAGTTTTAAACAAATATTTTTACACCACATTTAAATAGGAAGAAAATGGACAATGTTCAAATTAGTCTTTTTTTTTTTTTTTTCTTGAGGGCACCTAGATCTCTTCCATGGTGGACCAGTTCCTCGGCTATAATTCACAGCAAAGCCTTTCCTCAGTTCATCTGTGCCTTTCGGATAATATTCATTTGTCATTTGCTTTCGACAATTGTTTTCTTCGTCTATTAGTAGCGGCTTTGATATTAAATCAAAAGCCGAAAGATGATGATAACTCTGCATTGCAAAATGATTCTCAATATTAATTTCTTTATCGTTTTTCAAATTTTCGTGAACATCTTCCACGTTTAATTCTGGTGATTTAACTTCTTCTTCAAATACATCTCTGGATGCTTTATTTTCTTCCTTCATCGGTTCAAAGATCTGCTCTTCAGCTATTTTTGTTTTCCTTTGAGCTCTAGTAGAAACGGCATTAAAATGGTATCACTAAGTTTACGTTCAAGTGATAAACTAATAAAATAAGGCAGTTCAGCGTTAACAGGAAATAATAACCTGATATCTCTAATATTACATTCAGTGATGAACTAATAAAATAAGGCAATTCAATATTAACAGGAAGTAATAACCTGGTATCACTAATATTATG